TCCAGTAATACCTGAACTAACTCCTGCCTTGGAGTGTGGGACCCATCCTGGAGATGCTTGGAACACCCTCCCCCCCTGCACCCCACGTGAGCCTCCACTGCATCACGGCTGTTGCCCAACCCCGGGTCTGCTTGCTCATGCTTTGCAAAGAACTCCATCCGGGCCTCTTTGATGAGTGAGTGGTTTATTCCCATGCCCCCTGGGAAAACTGTAAAGAAGTGTGGCTCTTTGGAACATCAGAATTTTGAGTCATGGGAAATAATCCGCCAGGACTGGTCTGCAGAGTCAGTGAGCAAAAGTGGGGCACACCCAGGGCGCACAGAGGGCAGAGGTGGAGGTGGGAGTGCCGGGCAAGGCGGCCCTCTGAGACGGTTGGCACCAACAACAGGGAAGCTGATGGGTGCTGGCAGCCTCACACACAACGAGGGAGCCCCACCGGCTGAGTTTAAGGGCAAGAACATCAATGCGGAAGTTCTAGATCGGGCTCTTAGAAATAGGTGTCACACCTGACAGACGGCAGTATGACCATACTTAAGATCAGGTAAGAGATCTGGACCCTTGCCTTTCATTCCTTCAGGATGGACTGTGCACGCCCTTCACAGCGAGCCCAGGGAACCCGGCGTGGCTCCTGTGGCATCTGTCGCTGGTGAGTCCAGGGCTGCCCACAGGGGAGAGGAGGGACCTCCCGCCATCCTTATTCCCTCTGGGCCATTCAGGGCAAGGGCACCTCTGCTGGGCTCCCTCCTGTTCAGGGGTGGGGAGGGGCGCACCAGCCCTCACCAATTTCTTTGTGGGCAAGCCTGGGAAACACCAAGAAGAGAGGTGGCAGCTTTCGTGGCTTCTCCCAAGAGCATAAGGAAGACCCCCTCCCGTCCTCCGCCCCGGTCTGAGCACAGCCATGACTGGCCCCTCCAGAGGGGGGCTCCCTCTGGGCCAGGGAACTTTCCAGGTGCTGCTGGCAACTGCTAAGATCCAAATTAATGTGTATCCCAGAATCAGCCTTGTTTTGGAAAAGAGCCCATGTGGTACATTAATAAAATGCAGTCTTGACAAAACCACGTCACTCACCTTGTTTTATGCACAGGCCCTCGTTCCATTAAGTGCTGTCCTTTCTGATTGTAGATCATGGGTGTTCAATTTCTGAACCAACATTCCTCCCAAGGAGACTGGTACCTGAAATAAATATAATAGACATTCACAAACAAAAACTTACAAAACCCTCCCAACCCTCTTCTCTGTCAAGCAGTGTATTAATTTTCTTGTTGGTGATGGAAGAAATGACCACAAACTTAGTGGCTTAAAGCAACGCAGATGCGTTTCCTAGATTCTGGAAGTCAGAGGTCTGAAATCAAGGTGTCAGCAGAGCTGTGTTCCTTCTGGAAGTTTGAGGGGAGAATCTGCGCCTTGCCTTCTCGAGCTTCCAGAGGCCACCTGCTCTCCTTGACTTGTGGCCGCACCACCCGGATGACTTCTTCCAGCCGCGCATCTCCTCCTTTTCGTCTGGCTCTCCAGCCCTCCTCTTATAACGGCCCTTGTGATGATACTGGACCCAACCTGGATAGTCCAGGATACTCTCCCTGTCTCAGTATCACTTCTGCAAGGTCCCTTTCTGCCAAGGAAAGGTGACATAGTCATTGGTTCCAGGAACGAGGACATGGACATCAGGGGTGGGGGGAGTGGTCATTCTGCCCACTAAGGTAGAGAAAAGGCAGCATCCGCAAACTGCCTTCCTCCTGGTTTCTCTGATTTGGGTCATTTTAACCTATTAGGAGAGAACCGGCTCCATTAGCCCGGCCCCTCCCATCTGAGCAGCATGTTCTCCGGGAAATGCACCTGTCCACCCCTGACCTGAATGCCTTCCACAGCTGCCCCTGCTCTCCAGAAGCCTCCCTTTCCTGATGCTCTGCCGACTCTCAGATGACATCAGGGCAAAGCCTTCGGTGAGGGCTGGGGTCTCTAACACGGCTCGTGGATGGTTCTTCCTCCCTTTCCACAGGGAATTCGTAGGCCATGTGTGGGCATCAGCCACCCGGCCGTGACAGGAGGCGGGAGTAGGGAGGCGAAGGTGCTGTTCGCCGCGGGCTTCCGAGAAGCCTCTACCACCCAAATGAGGATTCGGGAATCCCAATCCACATGTCAGGAACTCCTGCTGAAGTATGTGTGTCCTGAGGAAGAAGTACCAGGCTGATCCCCATCGTGACCTCCCAGCCATCATCAGCTCCTCTCTAGACCCACCCAGATGCTGTCCAGTCTGGCCCCCGACTGCCTGATTTCAGATGACCAGAGAGAAGGCCCATGGGTCCACCGGACAGAATTTGGCTTTTCCCATGGATGTGGACAACATGCCCCCCTTAGGACAGTTGGGGTAGCAAATGTGGGACCCCCGACTTGCCATCAGGAACAAAATCAAACCTACAAAACCTCCCAAGAGGTCAACTCGCTGCTCTGGGGTCTAGTTCTTCCTGCAACACAGGGATCGAGGCAGTCGTAAGAATATACACACCTGAGGAGGCAGCCGTGCTCCGGGAGGGCGGCGGGCAGCGAACTGTGCTGTAGGGCCCCGCCGCCCAGTGGCCCCGAGAAGGGGTGGGCAAGTGGCCCCCTATGCTGCCGTCCCCCACCCACCACCCACCACCCCAGAGGGTTTTCAAATCCAAACTCTGTAACTAGCCCTGTGATGCTTCCTTCTCTGGTCCCATGACACTTTCCTCTCCCAGGACTGGAGCCTCCTGTCCCGAGACGAAGAGGAAGGGGAGATGCCAACTGCAGCACAGTCTAGGAGCCCACAGTGTGGGGAAGTTGGTACATGCGTGTATGTTTGTTATGTCTGGTCTGCGCACAGAAAAGGACGAGCAGGAAATAAGAAATTTAGCAATACTGCTTACGTCCCAAGGGTGGGATGAAGTGAAACATTGGCTTCCTTTGCTATCCATCTCTGCACTCTTTGAATTAGAATATTTTATAATGAGCCTATAATTCTAGGATTATTTCTGTTATCATAAAACATACATTTTTAACAAAATGAGAAAAAAATACTATTGGAGTGTATGTGACCTGGAGAGATAGTCACAATATACAGAATAAGAAGTTGCAACACGGCAGGCACAACAGAATTTCATTTTTTGCGAGGAAAGGTGTCAAAACAGGAAATATCTCCAAGGATGATATTTTGGTGTGCTAAAATGTTTAAAATGCTTATCTTTGAACGGTGGAACTCTTATTCGTATGTCCTCATGCCTTTCTGTATTTTTTTATATTTTTTTGTTTTTTTATTATTTTTTGAAGATGTATTTATTTATTTTGAGAGAGAGCGTGCGTGCATGCGCATGTGTGGGGTGAGGGGCAGAGGGAGAGACTCTTTCAATCTTCCAGGCTGAGCGAGGAGCCTGAAATGGGGCTCAATCCCAGACCCATGAGATCATGACCTGAGCCAAAACCAAGAGTCGGACACTTAACCGACCGAGCCACCCAGGCACCCCATCTATCTGTATATTTTTTAATGTGAGGTGGGAATCACGCAAGGGTTCCAAGTGGCAGCACCCTGGGCTCTTTTCTGGGCTGCTGCTGCTGGAAGTTTCTGCTTGGCCAGCTCCACCCACCGCTGCCAGTGCCTGGCGCAGCACCCGACCCCACCGGAGAAGCCTGGCACCACGGACAGGGCCCTGGAGGGCGCTTGGAGCCTGGATCTGGGCACCTACCAGCGGTGTGACGGAGGGCGAGTCACCGTAGCAACTTCAGCCTTGGTTTCTTTACTTGTAAAAGGGAGATCAGAGCTGGCCAGCCCCCCTCCCAGGATCAGAGGGATTTGCGGCACGAGAAAAACGCGTGCGTGGACCGGGAAGCTCTCGGTGCATGTCTGTTGTAGTTATTTCATTTCTGTATTGTTATTTGTAATTCCGAGTTTTGACTTTCATCCCAGACAGCATTCTTAGGTGTCCACGTCCCAATTTATTTTTGGAAGGGCCTGCCTTGTTAGTATATGTGGATTTTGGAGTCTCATGAACACTTGGTCTCCAACAGCTGTTCCCCTCCATCCAGTGGCCTTGAACACTTTCTTTGTATTCACTGCCCGTGGCGCTCTCTGTGATTTAATTTGCGAGAAGAAAGGACTTCTGCCAAAAGCTATCGGTCCCGTCAGCCTGCCACAACGGATTGTCATAAATGACTCCTGAGTAAAGGAAATGAAGGCTAGAAGGAGGGTCCACACAGCAGGCCTGCAGCCCCCTCCTCCGGGAGGCCCAGCTGTCCAATGCCCAGCGAGGCTGAGGGCTGGGCTCGCTCACGGGGCCTGTCTGGGCACACCTCCTCTCTCCTGGCCTTGGATGGAGGAGAGCCAGGGTGAGCCCCTCTGCACCTCCCCACCCTACCCAGGAGATGGTTGTGTGTTTTGTTTCCTGTTTCATCCCCTAGGAGAACACACCTGATTTAAATGTTAACAGTCACCTGCAGGAGGATTGGCTGCACCATTCATCCCGCCAAATTCTCTCCTCTAGGGCACAGCCAAATGGTAGGTGCTTTTTAAAGACTCCTGGAGAAACAGCACAGTTTTCAGCAAGAGGCCCTTCAAGGGCTTTTCTATCTTTTTAAAATCTCCTTCATCCCAAAGCCACAAAACAGGCCTTTCCGTGCCCTTCTCCCATGCCCACCCACCTCCCAAAGGAGCAGATCTGAGATATCATTTCCTTCTGTGTGCTTTCTGCCTCCCAGATCACCAGCTTCATCATTATAAAGAACCTGTGTAGCTCTTCACACGCAGCACACATTTCTCCTCCCTCAGAAGGAGGAGAAGCATCTTTTTTTCTGACCACTAGTGATTTATAATCCTTGTGACTCCCAGCCGGGTTTCTGAGGCCCTGCTCATGTACCTTCAGAGTCTTTTCAGGACAGCAAAGAGAAACAGAATAATAATCTGCTGAAAGAATAACATAAAAATATGTAAGCAATGTATGTATGTATGTGCACATGTGTGTGTGTGTGTGTGTAAAATTTTTTATTAAAAGAATTGGAATCAAGAGAATCCCAAAGAGGTTTGGTGACTTATCCAAGTTCCCAGCAAGTGCATACAAAGTGGAAAACAAATGGCAAATCTCCCTTTTCTTGACTCATTAAACCACATTGAGTCCCAGGCGACACTGATGCCAAGAGAGTGGGAATGTATCCCATTGTTTGCAAGTCATTATTCCCTGAGGATGAACTTGGCACCAGGAGCTCTTTGCCACACTCATATAGAGCCCACTACAGGCCTGTTGTTAACAAAAATCAATGCCATTCTCCTCCCCCAAAGCCCTTCAACATCCAGGGTTCCTGACTGAACTAAGCAAAAAACTCCTTGGCCTGATGTCGTAGACTTCTTTTGGAGAGGTACCCCGACCCCTCCCCTCAGGGGCGGGCCCCACATCCTGTCTAAAACAAAAAACACATAACAAAGTTGTTACCCTGAGCCAGGCACTGTGTTTGTCTCATGTGGCCTCAAGCTTCCCCCTCCCCCAAGAGTGTGGAAACAGAACCCTTGCACTGAGGGCAGGTTGACTCAAGGGCGCCATATTTGGCCCACGTGCATGGAAAAGCAGAGGAGGAGAGAGCGAAACAGTTGCAATGAGCCTGTGGACAACCATCCCAGAGAAAGATGTTTGCCCTGCTTCCTCACAGCAGTCCTGTCCTAACCCTGACCCGCCCAAAGCCCAGCTGTGCCTCTGCCACAGAGCTCTGTGAGGGCTGTGCCCTTGTAGCCCACTAACAAATTATTTTTGCCCATTTGGCTTGAGTGGGTTCCTGTTACTTATAACCTAACAGTCCCAAAGATACTCAGCTTAGCTAGAAAGTCGGCCAGTTATTCTGTGCTAATCAGCCACCAGTCAAAATAACAACATCCAGGGGGCACCTGGGTGGCTCAGTCGGTTAAACATCCGACTCTAGATTTTGGCTCAGGTCATGATCTCAGGGTCGTGAGATCCAGCCCCACGTTAGGCTCTGTGCTCAGCATGGAGTCTGCTCAGGATTCCTTCCTCTCCCTCTGCCCCCCGCTCCCTCACCGCAACCCCCTGGCTCACATGTTCTCTCTCTCAAATAAATAAATAAATCTTTAAAAAAAAATAACAACATCCAGGTGGTACTGGCAGGGCACTGTTGGAAATGGCTAACAGATGCTTGGTCACTCATATTTGAGTGTGAACCGGTTTGGTAACTTCCTTTCCTCCAAGACTGACCAGATAGGATCAGGGATGTTTGGGGGATTCAGAGTTTTGATGAAGATGAAGATGAAGAAGAAGAAGAAGAAATTTTAGAGAACGGGGTCCCAGAGGAGGGCAATCCTAGGTATAGGGAAGGCACCTTCAGCTACTGGAAAATGTGCCCAAGGTTAGTCCTGCTCCCAGTAATAGGGAAAATAATTCATTATCATTATGACTCATTAGTATTTTTAATTTACACAATGTCTTCCTTCCAAGGAACTCATTATGTTGATGGAGGTTCATTATAAGAAAGAGATTTGGGAGTGGAATTTATGTTGGACACAGTCTTCTAAATATGGCAACAAGGACCTTTATTACATGGGTACATGCCTTGAAGCAAATCTCTCCTCTATAAGCTAATTAGGAAGGGAGGTAAAACTGTGTCATGTCCGGGTGACTGAAGGAGAGATGTGGAGCTCTCTTAAAGCATTACGAAAACCACATTTCTAGCCAAATATTAAACTCATTACACTTGAAACTAACATAATGTTCTATGTCAGTTATATAGACATAACAAAAAATATAACAAAAAAATCTGTGGTGCTCCTAAAATCATAAAATATCTTGAGTTTAGTGTATTTGAGTAGCATTAAAGTTAATTATTGCTTGATGAGAAAAAATATATTGTAAGTTTTACATTTTAGCATAGGACAAATGAGGGGTATTTCTATTCAGATACCTTCCAAGCCAGCTTGAAAGAACTCTCACTCTGGCTCTGGGAAGTTACTGGTGTAGATCTTAAAGGAGCAGACACCTGCACTGGGGAATCCCATTTGGTACTTCTCCATGTGTGCAGTAACCGAACATCCCATAGGGATCATGGGAGACTCACACACTGACCTTACAAGGTATATAGGGACCGTTTCCAAGATCATATCACCTGCGGAGGCCAGCAACACAGCTTCCCACAGAAAATGATGCATTAGGAAGCATCTGAGTCATCAGCTTCTTATGGGGTATTCTTGGTTTGGGGTCAGACAGCAGCGGGGGGGAGTCAGATTTTTCCCTTTGCCCCAACCTCAACTCATCCTCCCTATCCAGTTCTATTCATTCAGCAAGTGTTTATCAAGGGCCTGCTAAATGCCAGCCCCAGTGCTAAGGATGAGGGGTACTGTGAGGCCCCCTGCCCTCATGCGTTCTCCCGGCATGGATAGGCATTAAGCAGGTTACATAATTAACCCACACTCACTGTTCAGGTAAGTACTGTGATGAAAAAGTGTGTGCACACTGTTATGAGCACATGGGGGTGGAATGGGGGCCCACATTAGCAATGAGGTGGCATCTAAGATGTAGAGGAGAGGCAGAGAAGAAGTAGAAAGGGTGGGGGGGGTCGGGACAGGGAGGAGGGTGTTCCAGGTGTGGAGCACAACCTGGGCAAAGAGGCTTAACCGAGGGGGGCTGAAGCTGTGAGCAAGGCGGAGAGTGGGGCTGGGTGAGGCTGGAAGGCCAATGCCAATGACACGGAGATTTCATGACACCAAGGGCTGATTTCAAGCAGAAGGAAGCAAATTTGCATTTTTAAGGATCACTCTGTCAGCTTTATGGAGGAAGCCACGGGGGCGGGGCAGGGCAGGAGAGGGCACCGAGAGCCCTAGTTTACACATTCTGTCGCAGGGACCGGGGTGCTTGGGCAGTGCTAGTGTGGACATAAAGAGAAGCAGACAGGCTGAAGGCATGTGACGGAGGCCGCTTCAGATCAACTACGTTCAGGAAGTGAGGAAAGGGAGGCGCCAAGGATGAGTGGGTGGGTGCACAGTCATGCCATCTACTGAGGTGGGCTCAACTGGAGGAGGAGCAGATCGGTGAGGAAGATCGAGAGCCGAATTTTGGACAAGCTAAGTAGGAGGCATTTGAGATACGAACTTGGAGCTCAGAAGAGAGACCTGGGCTACATGGAGACCTCTGGGAAGCCAGAGCCAATGATGGCAGGCATGTGGGGCTGCAGGCAGGGGTGAGATCCTCACGGACAGCAGGGGGATAAAGGAGGACGCCAGGACTGGGCTGGGTGGGACTGCAGTCTTTCCAGATCATGCCAGCTCTGGAGCTTGAGGAAGACAGAGCAGGGACAGGAGGAGCCATGACTCAGGAGTGGAAGCACAGGGCCTATGCACACCGTGCTCCCCGGGAGTCCGGACAGCCATGTCAAGAGCTGCTGGGGGTCAGGAGGGCTGAGAATGGAGGCAACACAAGGGTCACAGGGGACCTTAGCAAGAATCGCCAATGGCTGGGGAGAAAAACAGGATGGAGTGGTTGCAGAGTGAGCAGGAAGTGAGGAAGGGAAGATAGAAACCGGCTGCAAAGGAGAGGAGGAAGACAGAGCAGGGTGTGGAGCAGGGACTCATCCCAGCTCGCCCAGGACTCCCCTAGTGTTAGCACTAAAAGTCCTCTATTCTGGGAATGCACTTAGTCCTGGGGAAATCCAGACTGCTAGTCACCGTAAGGTGCAGTGTAGCAAAGTTATTGCTCTTGTTGTTTTTAGACAAGGAAATGGACATTTATGAATGCTAATGGGAAGGATCCACCTGATGGGGCAGGGGCGAGCCCTGGTCAGTTGCCCTGACTCCATGTCACTCACTCAAGTGTTAAAATGCTGTTGCTTCCTCATCCTCCCCAGGCCATCCAAAGTCCAACCCTCATGGTGCACCAGCAAAACCAGTGTTTCTGGAGCAAGATGACTGAATTTGCTCCCTGCTGTCACATATGAGGGAGGCTCTTGCCTGCCACTCTTGGGACACAATGAGAGCACCTGCTTTACAGCAGGGAGAACCTAAGTGTGGGCACTGGGAGCTCTGCTCATTAAAAGCATGAAGGTGCTTAATTGGGATTTTGTTTTTAAAATTCCCCCAAATGAGGGCCAGGTAGAACTGCTATAAGTAACACTTCTTTAAAAACACCTGCTGAATCCCAGCCAGGTAATCAGATGAGGCCCTGGGCCCACAGGCCAGGAGGAGTTCCAGGCACAACACTGACTTTCCAGACTAGGGCAGGGAGACCAGAGGAGCAGTCCCAGCAGAGCCCAGAGAGAGCTCAGCCCTGCCCTCAGTGCCACAGCAGCCCAGACCCCACCCCTGGGGCAGGTGGGGAGGCCCAGGAACAACGTGGCCAGGAGCTCAACTCTGGGAGGGTTTTGTGCCTCATCCAAAGCAGCCTCACTGGCTGGCAGGAAACCAAAAGCCAACGGGCAAATGATCTCTAACTTTTGGATTCATTCATTCTTTCTCCTTAAAAGGTCCAGACTGAACTCCCCAGAGCCTCACCCACGGCTCCAGAATCCTTCTGAATGTGTGTGGTGGAGGTGGGGGTGATCCTATTTGTGATTTCAAGAGCTTCAGACCCCACTCATCTCCCCTGTTGTGTAAAATCTGCCTCCTCACCCTAACCTACCAATCCTGTGGGTTAAAATGTCTAAAGGATGAGACAAGTAATGAGCTGGGGCTTGCCCTAGAAGATATTAAAACGTACTGTGAATAATTAGAATAGCGTGGTCTTGACATAATAATTAATAGTCAGATCAGTGGAACAGACTAGAGCTCAGAAAGAGAAGCAACTTAATGAGAATTTGGTATACAATAAAGATGGCATCACAACTCAAAAGAAAGGAAAGCATATGCAATAAATAAGTGGTGCTGTGTGACACTGTTTATTAAGAATACAAGGGAGAGGGGCACCTGGGTGGCTCAGTCAGTTAAGCATCTGACTCTTGATTTTGGCTCAGGTCATGATCTCAGAGTTCTGGGATCAAGACCCGTGTCAGGCTCCCTGCTCAGTGGGGAGTCTGCTTGAGATTCTCTTTCTCTCTCTCTCCCTCTGCCCCTCCCTCCATGCTCACACACACACACACACACTCTCTCTCTCTCTCTCTCTCAAATAAGTAAATCTTTAAAAAAAAGAATATAAGGGAGAGAGCATGACAGAGAAAGAAATAAAAAGAAAGTCTCCTTACCTACCCTATTCAAAAGTGACTTCCAGATGCATTCAAAAGCTAAGAAAATGTTATAAGAAAATGGGGGGGGGAATGTAATTATCTCAAATAACAAGGGATTTTTTTATCATAAAAGTGAATAAATCAGTCTTAATGATAAATATACAGCCTGACTACATAAAAAATGTAAACTTCTGTGCGGCAAACTGAAACATCAAAAACAAAACTAAAAAGGAATTTGCCAAACTTGGGTGGGGGGAGGACTTGCAGTAAATGTGCCAAAGAAGGTTTATAAGGCAAGTTTAAGAGATAACGATCTCAATAGAAAAATGGGCAAGGGACATGAACAGGCAATTAGCAAAAGACATACAAATGGCCAATAAACTACCACCAACAACACCAACTTCAATATCACTAGCAACCAAAGAAATGCAAAGGAAAATAGGATGTCATATCTCATCCATCCGTTTTGCAAAGATCATTCACTTGAGAACAATAGGAAGTAAAAAAAAATAAGCACTTCTTCAGTGCTGGAGGGAATATAAATTGCTACAGTTTTTCTGGAGAGCAATTTGGTTAATATATATCACAGTCTTACAAATGCTCACACACTAGGTCTCTGTAATTTCACAACTAGGGACCCATCCTAAGGCAATAACCAAAGATGTAAACAAAAATATATGTACAAAAGCATTTATCACAGAGTCATTTTCAATAGTGAGAAGTTGGAAACAAGCTAAATATCCCACAACAGGGGGTTAATTAAATAAATTATGGAACATTCATCCAATAGAATCATTGTAAATAGAAGTAACATTTTAAAGGATATTACATGATGTGAGAAAACATTTAAAATATAATGTTAAGTGGGAAAACATAGGACTCAGAATGATACATACAGTGTGGTTCCAGATGGAAGGAGGGGACATGCATAGAAAAAGGCTTAAAGGAAATAGACCAAAAATCTATTAACAAAAATGTTATCAGTGGTTATTTCTTAATGATGGAATTACAGGAGTTTTTTTTTTATTACTCTCATATATTTTTATTTCCCCACTTTTTAAGTGAATACTCATCAGGAAAAAAAAGGTGATCTTGAATAAATGCCTCCTCCCATACCTCACCCCCACATACAAGACCTAAGATGGCACCTGCTAAGATGAGAACAGATCCCTTGGTTTCCTTAGCTGTGAGCTGGGACCCAGAAAGTAGTGCTGGCCTAAGGGAATGAGAGAAAAGAGACAGATGTTTAGAGGGAGGGGAGAGAGGAGAAATAAGGGAGGGAACTGAGAATGGTCCAGAATGTGGAATGATGCTGAGACCATACTGGCCTTGCTGGGGCCTAGATAATACTCTAGCATCCATTCATTTGATTTTCTGAAGAGATCAGAAGAGTCTGGGCACCTTGGAGTCCAGACTCCAAAATGGTAAAAGGAAACCTCAGGGAGACCTCTGATGTAGCTGGATGGTGGCCCTCTCCTTCTCCATCCTCCTCTCTCCTTCCTTTTCAGTGGCTTCTTAGGGGAAAGGCAGTCCAGAGAAAATTCTAGGATAATGATGAGAGCGGAGGAACAATAGGAACCCCAGTGGGCACTGGGGCTGGCTGGTCATCTTTTGGGACTACTCTCCCCTTCCCGATTTTGCCCAGAACCATATGGGCTCTCAGGAAACATAAAATTTGGGGTTAAGAGGCTCTCCTGGACTGAAAGGTTGCTGTTTAATCCTTCACCAGCCATTGTGCACCCCACGGTCCTTGGAGCAGGTGGGCCAGGAAGTGACCCCCCCCCCCACCTCTGCACAGCACAGCATGAAAGGTGCCTTTGCATTTATTCCTCACCAACTGATACTTCTGAACACCTGCTACTATCAGGCATGTGCGGGGTTATCTGCACTGAAAGCTGAAGAAAGTACAGTCCTCCCCTTCTAGGAGCTCACTGATTACTAAGAAAAGGCACCAAAAAACAACCGTAATAATCTGCTTCTCACCAAGAAATGGACTTACTCTCTTCCGCCGCCATTTTAAATCCAGCTCCATACAACGCTCCGCCGCCGCTGCTGCCGCGACCCGGCCTGCGCGCCAGCACCCCACGGCCGACAACTCCGCCACCATGGAGGACATGAACGAGTACAGCAACATAGAGGAATTCGCAGAGGGATCCAAGATCAACGCGAGCAAGAATCAGCAGGATGACGGTAAAATGTTTACTGGAGGCTTGAGCTGGGATACAAGCAAGAAAGATCTGCCTGAATATTTGTCTCGATTTGGGGAAGTTGTAGACTGTACAATAAAAACAGATCCAGTGACTGGAAGATCAAGAGGATTTGGATTTGTGCTTTTCAGAGATGCTGCTAGTGTTGATAAGGTTTTGGAACTGAAAGAACACAAATTGGATGGCAAATTGATAGACCCCAAAAGGGCCAAAGCTTTAAAAGGGAAAGAACCCCCCAAAAAGGTTTTTGTGGGTGGATTGAGCCCAGATACTTCTGAAGAACAAATTAAAGAATATTTTGGAGCCTTTGGAGAGATTGAAAATATTGAACTTCCCATGGATACGAAAACAAATGAAAGAAGAGGATTTTGTTTTATTACATATACAGACGAAGAGCCAGTAAAGAAATTGTTAGAAAGCAGATATCATCAAATTGGTTCTGGTAAGTGTGAAGTCAAAGTTGCACAACCCAAAGAGGTATATAGGCAGCAACAGCAACAACAAAAAGGAGGAAGAGGTGCTGCAGCTGGTGGACGAGGTGGTACTAGGGGTCGTGGACGAGGTCAGGGCCAAAACTGGAACCAAGGATTTAATAACTATTATGATCAAGGATATGGAAATTACAATAGTGCCTATGGTGGTGATCAAAACTATAGTGGCTATGGCGGCTATGATTATACTGGGTATAACTATGGGAACTATGGATATGGACAGCAATATGCAGACTACAGTGGGCAACAGAGCACTTACGGCAAGGCGTCTCGAGGGGGTGGCAATCACCAAAACAATTACCAGCCATACTAAAGGAGGATGTTGGAGAAAACGGGAGGAGATTGCTAAAGTTAACGCATCTTGCAGGACGACATTGAAGATTGGTCTTCTGTTGATCTAAGATGATTATTTTGTAAAAGACTTTCTAGTGTACAAGACACAACTGTCCAACTGTATATAGCCGCCAGTTAGTTTTCTTTGTTTTTACTTTGTCTTTTGCTATCTGTGTTATGACTTGATGTGGATTTGTGTTTATACAAATTTTATTTGTATGATTCCATGTTAAACCTCAAATAAATGCTTCCTTATGTGATTGTTAAAAAAAAAAAGAAAGAAATGGACTTACTACATGCCAGACATTGTGCTGAAAGTTACAATGCTTTTCTTTCTTTTTTCTTTCATATTTAAAAATACACACACACACACACACACACACAGTTGACCCTTGAACAACACAGGGTCAGGGGCACCAACCCCCCATGCAGTCAAAAATCTGTGTATAGGGACATCTGGGTGGCTCAGTCAGTTAAGTGTCCGACTCTTGATTTTGGCTCAGGTCATGATCTCAGGGTCGTGAGATCAAGCCCCTCATTGGGCTCTGTGCTCAGTACAGAGTTTGCTTGGGATTCTCTCTCTCTCTCCCTCTCCCTGACTCTCTAAAATAAATAAGTAAATTCTTCAAAAAAAAATCTGTGTATAATTTTGACCCCCCCAAAACTTAACTACTAATAGCCTACTATTGTCTGGAAGACTTAACTAATAAACAATCGAATAACACGTATTTAAATATATATGATATACTATATTCTAATAATTAAGTAAGTTAGAAAAAAGAACACATTATTAAGAAGATCATAAGGAAGAGAAAGTGCATTTATAGTACTGTAGTTATTGAAAAACATCCACGTATAAGTAGACCAGTGCAGTTTGAACCTATGTTGTTCTAGGGTCAACTGTATGTTTATACTTGTTTACACACAGTAAAACTCTGCATCTCTGTGTGTGTGTACAGTTGAGTTTTTGTAAATGCACAGGGTTGGGTAAATGCATTAGACTATGGCATGATTCAGAACAGTTCCTTCATCCCAAATATTTCCTCACGGTCACCCATTCCCTTCATAGTCATCCCTCCTTCCACCCCAAGCACCCTGCAATCACTGACGTGTTTGTTCTCAGTCCCTATAAATTCGCCTCTCCCAGAATGTCATGTAAATGGAATCATACCGTATGTATCCTTTCGGGTCTGGCTTGACTTTTGTCAGTTCATTCAAGATTCATCCACATTGTTGCCTACATCAATATTTTGTTCCTTTTTATTGCCGAATAGCATTCCGTTGTGTGGAAGGACCCCAGTTTATCTATTCACCAGCTGAAGGACATCTGGGTTGTTTCTAGTTTGGGGTGACTATGAATAAAAATAAAGCAGCTTAAGCATTCACGTGCCTGTTTTTGTGTGAATGTGAGTGATTTCCTTTGGGTAAATAACTTACAATCCTTTCTTTAATCCTCACCCCTAGCCTATAAAAGTATCATTATCCACATTTTACAGAATAGGAACGGGGAGGTGTGGAGAGTCCTAAAGGGGTGGAGCACCTGGATTACTGTTCGGCCAACACAGACTGAGCGCCTCCTAGTGGCCAGGCAGCATGGGCCCTCGAGGATCCCCGCTCTGCAAGAAACCAACCTGTGTAATTCCTAACGTGAGGCAACGAGCTCACGGAGGGTACTCTGGGCGCTGAGAGGAGGGGCACCTGACTAAGCTCCGCGTTGGGGGTGTGCCCAGTTGAGTCATGGAGGAGAAGCGGAAGTTAACCAAGTGGAGGATATTCCAGGCAGAGGAGCAGCAGGGACAAAAGCATGGAGACGTCACTGTCAGTGGCACATTCCAAAAATAATGGGCTGACTGGTAAAGGATCCGCGTAGGAAAAAAAGTAGGAAATCTGGACAGGTAGGTGACGTATGACAACAAAGGACTTCAATTCCAAGTTAAGCGGTTTGGATGTTAAAACAATACTAGCTGACATTTCTACAGTACTTAACTATTTCCCAAATTCTGTGCCTCTCTGGGAAGCTTGACGGCTTGTGAGCCGGAAGGAAGTCTTTGAAGCAAAATGGCGCATGGTAAAGCTCAGGGTAAAGATTATTGACAAGAATGCCTGGTACCAAACACACACAGTGTCTGAGGAAACATACCCTGGAAGTACTGTTCTTTGCTTCCCTCTGAGGCTTTGTACCCTAGATCTCTTCATGGATGAAAAGAGAATTTACTGAAATCGTTTATGTGTCTAATTCTCCCATTGGACCAGGAGTCCCTTCCATTTCTGAGTCTTCATCACTGACCACAGTGTCTGGCATATAGTAGGGGATCTCTGCACATTTACTGAACAAATGAAGTGTTTTGTTCATTAAATATTTTGGTTAATAAATAGTTACCACATCAAGCTCAGATCACCTATTTCCAAAGAATTAGAATGTAATAAAATAGAGCTTGTGGAAGATCATTGTCAACATTATTCACCCTCTCTTCCCCACCTCTGTGGGAGGAGTATGCTCCCTGACTTCTGGTTTGGGGCTCTATGAAGTGACTTGCATTGGCCAATTGGATGTTAGCAGATGTGAAGCCCGCAGGGGCTTGAAATGTACTTGCACACTTGGACCTCTGCCATCGCCATGGGAACATACCCTGGTCAGCCTAATGGTCCAAGGAAGATGTGAGACATTTGGAACATACTCTGGTTCCAACCTGCTGCTTTGAGACACCCTGCTAAACCCAGCCGAGATTAGCCCAGCAGACCCGCAGAAGAGTCAGCAAAAAACACATGCTTGTTATCGCATATCTCTGAGTATTAGAGTTGTTTGTTATGTAGCAATAACTGACAGATATGGCCCTGCACTAAAAAAAATGCACCAACGATAATTTAGTTGTCCTTCATTCAGTAAAGTGAGTCACAGACTCTGGTTTCCGAGCACTTCTGACTCTCAGTTTCCTTGTCTGGAAAATCTGTAAAGCTGTTATGAGGACTGAATGAGGGCCTCCCCCCAGAATACTTCGTGCAACCCCTAGTACATTGAAAGTGCTCAGTGTGTGCTCTTTATGATGATGATGATGATGATGTTTCTGACCCTTGAGTCCCTGCCTTAAATAGCAGTTTTCCCTGGGTGTGGGGAGATGCCAGTGAGCAGAGAGCTCCAAATCTCCAAATCCCAGAACGTCAAGCAACAGAACACTTACTGTACACTGATGTGCATCCTTCCAGAATGACCTACACTGAACTCGCCGACCCTCTGCCAAAGAGCTAAGGCACCACTGCCTGTTTATTACAGTCAACTAGTTGATGATGCAGCTGTCCTGGAGGAGGTAGACTCAGTGTCCTGGTCGTGTGTCCTGGGGTGGGAGTGAGGCTAAGATGTGGTGGGTTTAATCCGCTAACGCTCGGGCTGTGGCAGGCTGCCAACAGAGCACTTAGCGCGGCCTCCCCTCCCCTCCCATCTGTCTTCCCTCCGTACGGACGCTTAATGCCACTGCATGCTAACAGGCAAAGTGTCTATGGTTTGAGAACACCCAAAACACAGGGGTGAACACAGCAACCAAACAGAATCTGTTTCACGAGATCACTTCGCCTCCATAGGGCATCTACTCACAAATCTACCCAGAGCAGCTCATTTTGTTCCACTGAAGGGTAAACTAGGAAGATCTCTCCGTACCCCACCTAGCCCCACAACAGGTTAAGGGGAATTATTTCCAAACTTTGTCTAATTCATATGATGTCTCCACAAGGGGCCACGTGCAGGTGTGGGCTCTGATCGTATCTTGCATTTAACCAATCCTCCGGCTTCCAAATCCTTAGGATCTGGTTATAGATTCTGCAAATCCTGCTTGTTGTCCTGTCCTCAGAGTGTCGGGAACCCACCAGTGTTTGGCTGCAGATTGGAAATGTTTCTAGAGGCCCAACTGAATCTTGGAAAATAGAAAACAACCCATCCCACATTACATAATTGGGCCAGGAAAACATGTTTCATATTAAAAAGGCAGCCAGCAATTTCCTAGGACTCAGAGGTCTGGGTTGTTCCTTTGGCTCTGGACCTGCTTAAGAATGACAATATTTTAACCTCTCCACGTTCAGCTGCCCCCTCTGTCATGATCCTGCTGTTTTGTGTATTGTACTCTGTCTTCCACTCTGGAGAGGATGAATAAATATCAGAGCATGAGAATTATTATGCTTCTCAGAGATGTTGGGAAGATCAATACAATGTTTCTCACACAAATAGGAAATGAAATTGAAGAGATATCAAGGTCCTTAGAAGCAGACCGGAGCCATACAAAAGTACAACGGCTCCAGCTGTGTAATCAAAAAGGCAGTCCCCTTAGAGTGTGACACCTGACACAGACTCCATAAAGGCAGAGTCCCAGCCGGCCCTCCAAATGGTGCCCCAGCCCTGCCCCCAGCGCTCCTTAGCACCCTGTACTTCACTATAACACGGCGGGGTGGGAAGGCCACTGGTGGTAGAACTGTATCCTGGTAATGCGCTCCAGAGGCAGACGGACTTGGGTTCAAATCCTGGCTCCTCCACTTGATCTTGGGCAAGTGATTCAATGTCTCTCAGCCCCAGTATCTTCATCTGTGATGCAGAGGTAAGAAAACCTCCACCCCAGGAAGGTCACCAGGGTTAAATGACACATGATGTGTGCACAACACTCCTGATGCCCAGCACGCAGTCAGTGCCCAGCGGAGTTCTGTTGGATGGAGGGTGGGTGGGGGGTGGGTGAGCAATTACAACTATATTGTAATTCTTAAAATAATTTTTGAGTACCGGGCCCCATGTGTTTGCTTAGCACTGGGCCCCACAAACCATGAAGCTGGTCCTGCTGAGAAGCCACGTGGAGGCCAGCTGTGTGGCTCTAGGAGGCTTTGCCATCCTATAAAGTTATAAGGCAACTCGACCCCATATTTGGGTTTGGTACTTGGGGCAAAGATACTACATTTGGAACAAAATCAAAGATGAAAATATTTTGTACTAACCCTGCACCATTTCATAGCAAGCTTCTAGGTATTTGTTAAAAGAGGGAAAAAAAAGAAAAGAAGAGCAACCTAACCACTGAGGAGAAAGGTCCTTCCCCACTCCCACTGTTTCCTTCCTCATGGAGAGAGTGTGATGAGTACGATTCTGCCCTCCCTCAGCCCCTTCTTCCCTCAGTCCAGGAGAGGTGGAGCCATTATCAATAATTAATTTAGTCTATTTGGGAGCTGGGGAGCCTGGGTGGCTCAGTCGGGTAAGCGTCTGCCTTCAGCTCAGGTCATGATCCCAGGGTCCTGGGA